GCACAGAAGCCCACCTCCTTTTTTCCTTCCTGGGGGTGGGAAACACAGACCCTGGGGCCCAGAGAGCTTGAAAGTTTATAAATGGGGTGTCTGTGCAGCTGTTAGGAGACAGAAAGCCATTATCCCAGCTCCAGGAACAAAGAATGGGCTTGGGGTCATTCAAAGTAGCCAGAGAAAGGGGGAATAAATGAGTGAATTCTCCAGGGAAGAAGTTTAAAAGAAGAGTAAAGGGAGGACAGGTGGAGGGAGATGATGAGAGGGACCTCAGCCAATCCCAGCTTTTGAATAGGGCTCAGTACTGAGTTTGAACGGGGCCTGGTGCTTCCGTTTTCCTTCCTTCTATGCTCATGGCCACTGTGACTCATCTAAAGATAATATGTTTAGGTCTTACTCATTGGAAGTGTGCTAGGCACTGGTTTTTTCAGGATGAATCAATCACTGTTTTCATTTCCATCATGATTGCTGTCACCACCAACACCATCGTCAATATCAATCCAGAATAGGAAACCCAGAGCTCACTGGCTCTCCTTCACTCATCACCTTCAATTTCACATCCTTTCCTATGGTGTCTCCAAGCAATGTCATTGTAGACACTTGGCAAGTTTTTGCTGACTGAGTGAAAGTCAGCCCTATCACCACCGCCACCACCACTACCACCAACCGACATTATCATTGCCACTGCCAAAATTGATACCTCCTTTGCCACAACATCACCATGACCACCACCACCATTAATTACAACCACTACCATCACTGCCATCACCACCGCCATTGACATTATTACTATTGTTGTCACTGACATCCCTGCTACCAGCAACATAACCAGCATCAAACATCTCCATTGCCACCAACACTGGTGACATCACCATCACCACCACCACTATTACTACTCTTGTGCTCATTGAGTTATTCTCCACTATTATTGCTGACATCTGGACTCCCCACCACCATCATCAACATAATCATCATCACTATCACACCACTGCCATGGCCACCACTACTCATTTATCTTCTCTCCTAGAACCATGCTCCTTTCCTTCAGAATACTAAGGGAAATCACAGTTATACATTCTTTAAGGTGATTATCTGGTTGTTAGTCAACTCTAAGTGTCAGGGAGATGGAAATTGTGTGTTTTCCCCCACAGACTGTTGAATCTCAGTCCCTGGGAAGTAGGCATCTCACGGTAACTACTTGCTATGGTCTGAATTTTGGTGTCTCCTCAAAATTCCTACTGCGTTTCCCCCAAAATAAGACTCTGTCTTATATTTATTTTTTCTCAAGAAGACACACTGGGGCTTATTTTCAAGGGATGTCTTATTTTTATTAAGTATAATACAACAATCTACATTTATTCAAATACAGTCATCTTCTTCTGGAACCTGACAGGGAGAGCCGACCTTGTTGGTGGGGTGGGCGCTAGTGATGCGTGAACTCCTTTCCCCTAGCTGTTCGCAGGTGCGCAATAGGATGCCTGCGACCACGGTTACCACATGTGCATTGCGCAATTGCGAATGGCTTGGAGAAAGGAGCTGTGGCCAATAAAAGGTATTCCAGTCTTCCTTACTGCTCTGCACCGAAATGAGATCACTAGGTCTTATTATGGGGTAGGGCTTATATTTAACAAATGCATAGAAATCCTGCTAGGGCTTATTTTTTGGGTAGGTCTTATTTTTGGGGAAACACAATATGTTAGAATCTAATACCCAATGTGATAAGATTAAGAGTTGGGGGCCTTTTAGGAAGTGATTAAGTCATGAGGGCTCTACCCTCATTGAATGAAATTAGTGCCCTTATGTAAGAGGTCACTTCTGCCATGTGACAACACAGCAACAAGGCACCGTTTGGGAAGCAGACAGTAAACCCTTACTAGACAGTGAATCCACTGGCACTTTGGGTTTGGACTGTCCAGCCACCAAAACTGTGAGCAATTTATTCCTGTTGTTCATAAACTACCCAGTCTAAGGCATTCTGTTACAGCAGTCTGGATAGACTAAGATAGTACTCAACGAATGTTTCCTGAAAAAGCTATTTAGATCAACATAGTCCCCTATCATAAAACAAACTTAGACTTTAGGATGTCAATGCTTCCCATGCTCTGTCTTAGGAATGGGCCCTACTAGAGAAAAATAGCACCCACCATATGACTGATAAACTAAGTAAGGAGAAACCCACACTGCTTTGGGATATGTACAATAGCATAATGGGAGTATTTCAGATTGCATGTGAAAACCCTACACTGTTACCCAGAAGTGCATTAATGTACATAGTTACCATTCAATAAAAAAAAAAAAATGTAAAAAAAAATAGCATAATGGGAAGATCTTAATCTATAGCCCCCTGGGCTGGGAGTCTGCAGATGAGCTGAGAGTCTGGCTCTTCTAAGATCTTCCACCACTTCACCACCGGAGATTTGCCCAAATCTGGATCAATTCAGTGACAACACTTAATCCACCCCATCCTTTAGACCTAACAGAGATTTTCACACATGTTGCCTAGTAGACCAGAGAGTTCTTAAAGGTACCATAGGGGATGATATGAGGTTCAAGGGGGAGGGACTGAGAGGGGCCATAAGGGGAGGGCTCTGGGGTCTTCACTCAAATTCGTCCACTGGGCTCCTGACTGTGTGATATGTGGGCTCTAGTGATTTTATTTTTTTTTTCTAGTTTTTTTTTTTTTAATTGAATGGTAACTGTGTACATTAATGCACTTCTGGGGTACAGTGTGGTGTTTTCACACACAATCTGAAACACTTCCATCAAACTGGTTAACATAGCCTTCATGTCATTTTCTTAGTTATTGTGTTAAAACGTTCATATTCTACTCATAGAAAGATTCACTTGTACCCCTGTAAGATAAACCTCAGAAGTGAACCCTCGAAGCCTCCTCCCTCCACCAATTCCCTCCTCCCCTCTCCCTCTCCCCTCCTCGTATCCTTAGGTTGTTATTAGGTTATAGCTTTCATATAAAAGGTTTTAAAAAATATGGAACGCTTCACGAATTTGCGTGTCATCCTTGCGCAGGGGCCATGCTAATCTTCTTTGTATTGTTCCAATTTTAGTCTATGCGCTGCCGAAGCCAGCACGCTCTAGTGATTTTAAAAACAGATTTGGAAACAATTAGTTTAGAGGGTAAGTTCTTAATTTTTTTAGTTTTGAAATAGTTATTTGGCATTGTGTGTGTGTTCCAAGCAAAAATCATATGCCACTAGTCCCAAAGAACCGTTAGAAATGTTCATCTGGGCTTATGAGGTGGATCCTGCCTGTGATCCTAGCACTCTGGGAGGCTGAGGCGGGTAGATTGCTTGAACTCAGGAGTTCTAGATGAGCCTGAACAAGAAGAGACTCTGTGTCTACTAAAAATAGAAAAATTAGCCAGGTGCACTGGTGGGTGTCTGTAGTCCCAGCTACCTGGAAGGCTGAGGCAGGAGCCCAGGAGTTTGAGGTTGCTGTGAGTAAGCTGATGCCACTGCACACCAGCCCTGGGTGACAGAGTGAGACCTTGTCTCCAAACAAAAAACCAAAGAAGATGCATATCTGATGTTTCTATCAACGCTTCTCTTCCCACAGTGAAGGTTGGCTCAGCAAGATGTCTTTTACTCTGGTTCTCTGGTTCTTTGGCAAAATGCAAACAGAGTTTCATTCTTGGAGAACTGTATTCCATGCAGGAATCCTTATTTAAAGAAACTGTCTTAGGAATATAAAGCTGAAGGGAAGAGGAATTTACCCATGTACCTTCCTGCCCAGCAAACACTATTTTGCCACATGGAAAAGACGTTGTATGTGTCTGGGAGGGGGCATTCTTCAGCTTGCCCCCTGCAAAGACAAGCTAAGAGACTCAGTGCTGGCCATGGATGGCAGATTGTCACTTGACAGGGAGGAGACCAGACACTAATAGGGGACATAGTGCCTTTTGAGTGATGGTCACTGAGAGTGACAGGATGGGAGCAGGGGGAGGGGTGGCTGGCTGAAGGGTGAGAAGGATGGTTATGCCTTACCCAAGGACCAAGGGATCTCTCCTGCCCATCCTCAGCCCTCCTGAAAACAGAGAGAGAGAGAGAGAGAGAGAGATAAAGAGAGAGAGAGTGTGTATGCGTGTGTATACATGTAGGCATTGTTCAGCAGCTCTGCAGACGCCCTGCCATTCTTCAGCCCTTTGTAAGTTCAGCCCCTGTGGCCCATCTTCATGTCTGCCCTCAGGGCACCCTTCCCAGAGGCCAGCTAGAGTAAGAGGCAGGCTGGGGGCTTTGGGACTATGGCATAAGGAGAGACTGCGTGGGCAAAAGAGAAGAGTATGTTTCCTGGAGAGATTGAGCAAGTTTAGCTTAAGGACACATTTGCAGGCTGAGAAATGAAAATGCAGTGACCAAGGAGGCATGGAAACCAGGAGGGGACTCGCCTGTGTGTCAGAGATTCCTTCCTTCCAGGCTGTGTCTTTCCACACACTAGTGAGCAAACTCTGGAAAAACAACTTAATTGTGTGAGTGGTGTGGTGGGAATGAAGGAGCAGAGGGGGTGGGGGAATGGCCCCGGGTCAGACCTTCCTCTGGGGACACAAGTCCAGGAATTAACAAGCCTTATTAGATATGTTCCATTTTGTCTTCCCAGGAGTCTGGAAGGCTCTCAAAGTTGGTTCTTCCCTTAACCATTTGCTTCCAGAAGTGGCTCTAATGCAGCCCTGGAAATCTCAGTTGGAAAGGAGCTGTGGCCAGCACACTCTCTTCTCAGCGTGTCCCTCCCTTAGCCTCAGAATATGTCTCTTACCCAGCTAGCCTCTCTTCTTACGCACAGTCCCACCTCACCCGCCTCACATGCCTCCTGCCCGCAGAGTCAAGGGCAACGCGCTGCTCACCACAGACCATGAGTTCAGACGGCTGTTTGTCTGCAGCTGTATTACCTACTCCCTCACTCTAATGCCCCCTTGGACTTGATCCAGACTTCACGGCTAAGTCAACTTCGCCCTGTCTATTGAGGGCATCAGTCCACCGTGGGCGGCAATGTTCTCAGAGAAAGAACTCCTTTAATGACTGAGGAACCTAGGGAAGAGGAGGTAGACAGACATAGGTCTGTCACTCTCAGTCTTCACTTCCAGAGACATTCTCCTGAGCCCCTTGGTGCCAGACCCACTGGACGGGGCTGGACACCCATACACACCCATACACGTTCATTCTCTCTTTCTCTCTGTTTTCAGGAGGGCTGAGGATGGGCAGGAGAGATCCCTTGGTCCTTGGGGATGGACACAGAGAAGGAGCTGAGGGCCGTGACCTCAGGAAGCTCAGTCTGCTTAGGGTGTGGAAGCTACACGTGCAAACAGTGAGAAGACCGCACCGAGCAACGTCTATGGGCTGGTGGCGGAGATCGTGGCACAAACTGTTGTCACTCAATGTGCCTGAGCTGGGCTTGGGGGAGGATGGTAGGCTTCCTGGAGGAAGCAGAGGAGGAGGAGGAGAAACACTGGGGCAACTCACATCGTTTTGGAAGAGCTCAGCATAAACCACGCATGTGCTGGAGATCAGCTCTTCAGCATCAAGGTCGATGAGGTTGTTGCAGGCCTGTAGAAGGGCACGGGTGGGGGTGGGGCAAGCGTGTCTCCCTGTGCTCTTGGGCACAGACAGCTGCCTACAGCACCAAGGGAAGAGGGCTTTGCCCACAGCAGTCATCCAATCTCTCCCCAGGCTGCCTGGTGCAGTGCCTGAAATTTTATACTTTGTGGGGCTGGCAAATGTACTTTCATAATATTGGTCTCCAGGGAGTTCCACCAAGTATCTCAGGGGCTTCTTAGGAGGCTTGGCTTATAATTGGGGTGCAACCTGAGTTTTTTTTGAACAAAGACTTTAGCTGTTTTTTAAAAAATGTTGGACAGCTCTAGGTCCTTTTGTCACAGAAGTATCCTGGGTCCACGGCATTAACTGGGAGACCGTAGACCAGTGTTTTTCAACCTTTTTTTTTTTTTATCTCA